AGAATTCATGGGCTACGTTAACATGGCCGACTTGAATACATCAAGGGAAAACAAGAAAAGAAAAAACTGAGCTTGAGGGTAGCCGGGAAAAGATTTGTTATATATATATATATATATATATATACTCAGGTTTGATTTTTATTGTGAATATTTATTATTTTTGTGATATTTTATTTATTTATTTGGTTTATAAAATATTTATTAGATTAAAAAATTAATTATAATATGTATAAGCTAATTTGAATATCCTGAATTATTAAAAAAAAAAAACTTTAGTGGAAGAATGAGATTTGAACATGCTGGAGCGACTTTGAAAATCTAGGAAAGAAATAAAAGATTCATCAGCGTTTTTAAATCAATAATGGAGAGGGAAGAGAATATATATATACACACACACACCTACCCAAGTTTGATTTTTGTTGTGTATATCTGTTATTTTTATTATATTTTATTTTTTTATTGAACTTATAAGATATTTAGTAGATAAAAAAATTAATTATAATATGCCTAAGCTAATTCGTACATTCTGAATTATATATAAAAAAAAAAAAACTTTAGTGGAAGAATTAGATTTGAACATGCTGGGGCGACTTTGAAAATCTAGGAAAGAAATTAAAGATTCATCAGCGTTTTTAAATCAATAAAAAAAAAAGAGTTCGTGAAAGTTGAATTTAACTTGTTTTTTGAAATAAACGAAGGCAATTTATGATGGTACAAGGGGAAATATTATTTACAAGAACTTATGTTTTTATTTAGTCGTGTTATATGGTGATTTTAGCCTAATTATTTTACCAATAAATGCATTTAAAAGGATAAAAATAATTTATTGGTTTATTTATATATTATAAATCGTCATTGAAAAGAGAGACAATAGAAGACAATGAAGTGGGGATGGAAAGAGAGAAATAGAGTGGACCTGCTCGTGATTGAGTGTGGATTTGTGGATTTGCGAACAACATCTATGTATCAGAGGATGCCGAGTTGGAGCTACCTGTAATTATATTTATTATTCTTCTAATATTGCCAGCCACTTTGATTTAAATGCTAGTGATGATTTTTTAAAATTCACAGTTGTTTAACATATGAGAAAATGATTAATCAACGTATCTAGATAATTGACTTTGTTTTTTTAGATGTTTTACACCAAGATAAAAATTTAAGTATATCTAAAAATAATTTTAATTAGAAGACTTAAAAATAATTTTATTTAATGATAAATTCAGTATATTTATGAGAATAATAATAAATGGCTTAATTGAACTTTAAACTCAAGAAATAAAAATATTTGTTTTTGAATTTTGAGAATTAAAATGAATAATACTCTACAATATATGCAAGTTTTTTTTAAGAGATGGAAAGTTCTAAACTCTTTACCTGAATAGTTTAGGTGCATTTATACTTTAGAACCTTATTATTTTCAGAGAAAAAAAAAATTCAGGTTAAGTTTATTTGCAGGAAAATAACTTTCTTTTTTTAAAGAGGTTTTCTTGAAAAGTAAAATTTTTTAAAAAATAAATTATTTTATGATATTTGGTAATGTTATGAAAAATAAGTTCAAAAATACTTTTTAGTGTTTAATTATATTATGAAAAATAAGCTGGAAAATAAATTATTAATTTTTTTTTAATTTTATTAAAATAATAAGGAACAAATATTACAAATTAAAAAGTTGAATGAAAATGAAAGTGGAAAAAATTTAATTTCATAAATTATCTAAAATAAAATAAATAATAATCAAAATATTAGAGACCAAATCTAACAGGTAAAAAAATTAAAAGATGATGAAATTAAAATAATAATAATTAAAATTTCATAAATTATTTTAAATAAAACAGTAACAATCAAAAGAATAATGACAAAATTTTATAGATAAAAAATTTCAATTAAAAAACGATAAGAAAAAAATAAATAACAATCATAAAAATAAGTATTAAAGTTACTATAAAAATAAAATTAAATTAAATTTTAAGGGATGAAATTAAAAAAAATAAAATAAAATATATAACAATCAAAAGTTTGAGAACTAAATTTGACATAATTAATAAATAATATGATATTTTTAAATTTTTCACGACTTCTAAAAAGTGTTTTGTTCCAAGATAAAAGAAAAATATTTTTCTAGAAATCAAGCCAGATTTTCCTTTGACAAGAAAGTATTTTTTGTTGACTAACTTTTCTAATGACAAGCAAACACAGGAAAAGTTTGGAAAATGATTTTCTAAAAACTATTTTTCAGTAAACAAACGCACTCTAAAAATTCATTTGCTTTTAATGGTATTAATAAGAAACAAATATCGCTTACATATCATTAATAAAATAATAAGCATTTAGGTTTCTTAAAAGTTTTTTGCATAACTATAAATATAGGGAAATCATTATCTCAAATATGAATTATTCATAAAACTGTTTTAGATGAAAAGACATAATGGTTTATCATAGTAAAATTATTGTGTAATTAACTCTTGAAAGTACAATAATAACAATTAATCAAAATAGGATATTGGTTATCTTTAGCTTGGATTGTATCTTGAACCTAACTTTCCTCCTCCTCGAGGATCTTTGGAATCTCTTCGTAAAACATGTTGATGGATTTTGTTTTTCTTCTCTTTTTTTAACTTGATAGGCTTCATAATTGGCAGGCATTTTATATTTAATATGTGACAAACAATTATTTTTAAAATTAATAAGTTGTCACCTAATTAAGCTAACAAACAACACGCTTAGATAAGGGTTAACAAAAAATTTATGCATGATCCATATAAATAATAAGTATTTCACCAATAAATATACAATGCAGTTGTTCTAGTATAATAAAATTCTACCTTGTAGTATCTAAGAAAAAGAATTGAAAGTAATTAGTAAGACTCTGTGTTCAATAAAAAATATACAAAATAATTATGTCTTTATAATTATGTTTTCTTGTTGGCCAATACTAGCTCCAATGTTTCCTCTAAATGAATGGTTTAAACTTATCTGATATTTTTTATCTTAATGAATAATATATTATTTTTATATATTGTTATATTTTTTCTAAAAAAAAAATTATTATACTTTCATATATTTTAGATATTGCTTGTTACATAGTATAAATCTCAACAAGTAAATCAATAAGAAATTATAAGTTTTATATAAACTAAAATTAATGAATCAAACAATTTAAAATATGATTTATTTTTTAATCTTAAAATCTGATTCCTTATCAGATTAGATTTTTAATTAAAAAAATTATAATGTTGTAAACTTGCTGGAAATTTTATAGTATTTAGATATAAACACATGGTGAATCAAACTTTAAAATATGGTTTATCACTCTTGTTTATAAAAATATCCTTATAAAATAATAATTTTTAAAATCTTGTCCTTTAATAATCAAATTCTTATTTATTAGTAACATTTTAAGCATGAGTAAGTTTTCTTCATCCTTGCATTATTGATAGAAGAAAGTATAAAAAAAAAGTGTGCATATATACAGGGAGAATATAAGGGTATACAATGAGAAAGGAAATAATTTGAAACTTGAAATTATTGTAAAATCGATGACAAAATCATGATTTTTACTTGATTTTACTTAAAATTTTGTTTTTCAATTTATTTTGATCCCAAACACTTATAAAACACCGTAACAATTGTGATAAACCTATTTATAGTCTAAAAAACTACCCCCAAAATCAAAATCAACTTAAATCCCAAAATCAACATGAGCTTATATCTATTTTTTATGAAATTTAAATGTACAACAACATTTAATATGAACTCTAGTTAAATAAAACTATTTGATATAAATATAGACCCGTCTTGGTAGTTTAAATTAGTATCAACAATATTTTTCTTTATCTATTATTGAATTTCGATGATTTTTCTTTCTCACGTCTCTCAACTTAGACTAAAAAATAATAAAAATGAAGTTTTGTATTAAAATTAAAATTATATAATTTACATGATTTTTAAAATTTAAAAATTAAAATATATTTTTTTCAAAACTTATAACATGTGAATTATATCTTTTTCTTATCTGTCCCTCTTTTTATCAATCTCATATTTTTATAAAAAATTAAAATTACTTGATTTTTAATTAAAACTAAATTGTTAGAAAAAAAGTTTGAGAAATAAGAAATAAGAAATAATAAAGCTTTTCATAGTTAAAAAAACTCACGCCTTATAAAATAATATTTAAGTCACATGACAAAATAGCAGTAACAGAAACCACACAAAAATGTGAAGAACTTCAATGTTTTGAATCTCCTCGCCACCCACACACAAAATCATTTCGTTTCTTTTTGCTCAAAAAGACAAAAATGCTTATGTTTCCTTCTCCTCTTGAACCCGCTGTCGCCTCTGCTCTGCTCTCCACTAACACACCTCTTTCTCCCTCTCCTTCAAAGTACTTGGCCGTTTGGTAATGAGATTCTATCTATATTTTGTTTAAAATGCAATAATTCATTATTTATGAATTTTATAGTGTTTTCCTGTTTAAAATACAGGAAAAAAAAGCAGTAAGGAGCTGCTTTTGTACGACTGAACCATGCTCCATTATTTAGTTAACAGTCAAGCATGTTATATTATTGGATACAGTCTCGTAAAATAAAAATAATTTAATTATATTTTATTTAAAAAATTAATATTTAAAATTATTTAATAACATTATATAAATAAAATAAAAATCACTTAAACAGAATTTAATAGCAATTATAAATTATAAATAATTTAATAAAATAATAAAAAATATTTTATATAAAATATTATTCATTTAATTATGTAATAATAATAATTAAATTTATAATATTTAAATTAAAAATTATTAATATTAATATATATTTTTTAAAATTATTTTATAATCTTAATTTTAAAAGTATTTTTTACTAAATATATTAAATAATTTTTTATTTAATTTTAATTTTAATTACAATTTAACTAAATATATATAAATTCAATCTTAACTTTAATTAAAAATATTTGTTATAAAATATTTTTTTTTAAACGATGGACACAAAAACTACTTGATCAACTCGCTTTCTTTTTTTAGAGTTCTTCTCGGATTTCAACCAACGATTTCGTTTTGGTTGTTTTTTTAGGCTCGGTGTTGATGGAGAGAAGAAATCTGCGAAAGAGCAGTAGTGAAGAGGAGAGCTTGAGCTTGGTGTCTAGTGGCTCGAAATCGTGCGCTTCATCTCTAACAATTGATGGATCTAAGGAGATTCGAGCTCACAAGCTCAAAATCGTCGCTTTCGTGTCTCGCTGCCATGAAACGAAGCTCAAGGTCATCCTCATTTTATCCCGGTTTAATTTTTGAGTTTCTATTTGGCTTCATTCTATTTAGATTTGAGTGATCGTCTCTGTTGATACTTATTAGTTGATATTTATAGAGTTTCTGTTCTGTTCAGATGATTTTTGACAGCAAGTTTTTGTTTGAGTGACTATCTCCATTATAAATCCCTTTTTAGACTGTTTGATGCTTATCAGTTGGTTTCTATATATGTGATATTTTTGGCTCTGTTTGGATGATAATTTTTTTTGAGTGGCATTCTCCGTTTGAAATCATTATGAATCTCTTTCAGTGATTATCGGTTGATTTTATTTAGTTGCCTTTCTGTTTGGCTGTAATCTAACCCTAGCTCTCTCTTACTGTATTTGTTTTTAATTTAGCTCTTTGAATTAAGTTCTTTATAGCTTTGTGTTTGCCTTTAATTCGGTCCTTTTATGCATATTTTTGACAAGTTATTAATATTAATCACTGTTTTTTAGTTTATTTTCATGTAATTTTTGCAGGTAGCGTGAAGGAGGCACTCGAAGGTGAACTGGAGCTCTGGCCACCAGAGGTCAATCGTGCTAGCTCCGCCGGAGAAGGCAGCTGCGCTGGTGGCGTCTATAGAGTCAGGTTCGTGCTTGTCAAGTGGTTCCAGCGCCGCTTCAAAAAAGCAAAGCCACTTTATGTATACGAACGGATTGATGATGAAGCAGGCTGGTTCGTGATGATCAGGAGGAGACGAAGAGGATCAGATCTGGCTTTGGCTAGCGTTACATGAGCGGCTGACCCGAACAACATGGAGTCTGCTGTCAAGTGGTTGTTTCTCCGAAATGAGGATTCGTCGTGTGCTTGGCGACAGTACTCCTAGTCCTAGCACAAGCAAAGCTTTGAGAAAGTGAGTGAATGAAGTCGCTCACATGATTGGCACGTGGAATGTGTTAGATCTAATAGCGTTACAGTAATGCTTCTGTAAATTTCATTCCCTACTCGGAAATTTTTTAACCCTGTTCGTTTTGTTGTCAATAGCAGAATACGGTGAATTTCACCTGCTGTGGTGTAACGTCAGGCTGTTAAAGCAAAAGGCGGTGAAAAGATCTGGTGAAGGAGGGAGTCATGACCATTTACACGGTAACGGGCTTTTCTCATAAATATTTTACTGCTTTCCCATTCCACTGAAAATGATTAATTTATGAAATCAGTCCATACAAAGTTACCGCTATGTGTTATAACCATAGTTATTAAACCCGGTCCGGAAATTGACCCGGTCAAGGGGCCGGGTTTCGGGTTTTAGGGGTTAACCCGGGTCGACCCGGAAAAATTAAAAAAAATAAAGTTTTAATATTTCATATAAAAAAATCTATATAAATATAAATTATACATATTGTAAACAATGAAATTTAAAAAAAAAATTTTAAAAAAAATTTATCCTACATTGAAAATGTATAATTTTTTTTTGGGAATATATAGTATTTATACTAATAAGTTTCAAATCCCACATTAAAAAAACATGATTTTTTTCATGGGAGCATAAAGTATATATACGAAAGGGTTTAAAATTTCACATTGAAAAAATATGATTTTTTTCATTTAAGCATAGAGTATATATACGAAAGGGTTTCAAATTCCACATTGAAAAAATATTATGTTATCTTTTTAAGTTGAAGTATTTAAACTAAAAGGTTTTTTATCCCACATTGAAAAAACATGA